TTAAATGGAAGACGTTTGGGATGATCAGAACCCTTCCTAGAGCTGGCCGTCCGGCCAAACTGAGCTATCGGGGGCGAAGAGCCTTGGTGAGAGAGGTAAAGAAGAACCCAAAGATCACTGTGGCTGAGCTCCAGAGATGCAGTTGGGAGATGGGAGAAAGTTGTAGAAAGTCAACCATCACTGCAGCCCTCCACCAGTCGGGGCTTTATGGCAGAGTGGCCCGACGGAAGCCTCTCCTCAGTGCAAGACACATGAAAGCCTGCATGGAGTTTGCTAAAAAACACCTGAATAAGATTCTCTGGTCTGATGAGACCAAGATATAACTTTTTGGCCTTAATTCTAAGCGGTATGTGTGGAGAAAACCAGGCACTGCTCATCACCTGTCCAATACAGTCCCAACAGTGAAGCATGGTGGTGGCGGCATCATGCTGTGGGGGTGTTTTTCAGCTGCAGGGACAGGACGACTGGTTGCAATCGAGGGAAAGATGAATGCGGCCAAGTACAGGGATATCCTGGACGAAAACCTTCTCGAGTGCTCAGGACCTCAGACTGGGCTGAAGGTTTACCTTCCAACAAGACAATGACCCTAAGCACACAGCTAAAATAATGAAGGAGTGGCTTCACAACAACTCTGTGACTGTTCTTGAATGGCCCAGCCAGAGCCCTGACTTAAACCCAATTGAGCATCTCTGGAGAGACCTAAAAATGGCTGTCCACCAACGTTTACCATCCAACCTGACAGAACTGGAGAGGCTCTGCAAGGAGGAATGGCAGAGGATCCCTAAATCCAGGTGTGAAAAACTTGTTGGGTCTTTCCCAAAAAGACTCATGGCTGTATTCGATCAAAAGGGTGCTTCTACTAAATATTGAGCAAAGGGTCTGAATACTTAGGACCATGTGATATTTCAGATTTTCTTTTTTAATAAATCTGCATAAATGTCAACAATTCTGTGTTTTTCTGTCAATATGGGGTGCTGTGTGTACATTAATGAGGAAAAAAAATTAACTTAAATGATTTTAGCAAATGGCTGCAATATAACAAAGAGTGAAAAATTTAAGGGGGTCTGAATACTTTCCGTACCCACTGTATGTGGGTGACTCTAAAATTACAAAGCAGCTAAGAAAAACCATTGAGACAGTTGGCAACATTTTACTATTATTCTTCCATAAACTTCAGATATGTTGTGAATAGTAACAGGTCTGTGGTGTTACTGTGAAAAAATTTAAAACCAAAGGCATCAGCATACAAAGAATGCAATGTCTTCTTAAGCAGTGATTCCCAACCAGAGCAGAATATATAATGCATACATAATAGTATTATATATCATATAATAATAGTTTGGGGTCAAAAAGATTTTTTTTAAAGATATTAATACTTTTATTTAGCAAGGACACATTAAATTGCTCAAAAGTGACAAAAAAAAGACATTTTACAATGTTAAAAAAAGTTATATTTTAAATAAACGCTGTTCTTTGAACTTTCTATTCATCAAAGAATCCTAAAAATAACTAAATGCATCATGGTTTCCACAAAAACATTCAACTGCACAACTGTTTTCAACATTAATAATAATACTAAATATTTCTCAAGCACCAAATCAGCATATTAGAATGATTTCTGAAGGATCATGTGACACTGAAGACTGGAGTAATGGCAGCTGAAAATTCAGCTCTGCCATCACAGGAATAAACTAATATATATTAAAAAGGAAAAGAGTTATTTAAATTGTAGTTTACAGTATTACCGTTTTTAATGCAGGCTTGGTAAGCATAAGAAAGTGCTTTCAAAAATGTCTTATCGATCCCAAACTTTTGAATAGTAGTGTATATAAAACAGAAATCACTGAAAGTACTGTTTACACATTAATTTGATTATATATAATTGGAATATAGGAAAATATTTTGCAAAATTTAAAATGAAATTTGAATTTAAGTGGTCAACATACAAAGTGCGTATGAGGACATTTTTCTTTATTTTTCACTCTTAAAATCAAATACATCTCCATCAATATTTTGATAATAAGTTGATATTGTAGTTTTATTTATGAATGTGGAATTGCTTAGACATGGTCCACAAAACTCCTAACTAAATGAGCCATGAGTGCACAAGAATGTGTGTGATGTGTGTTTGTGTATGTCTGTGCGTTGCGCTTTTGTTTCACCTTCAGAAGCAGCTGGTACTTCATGATCCTCTGCACAGGTTTGATGAGCAGGTCATTCAGCTGCAGCCTGTGACCCAGCTGCTGTTTCAGTTCCTGCACACAAACATTCACCTGATTTGACTGATTCCTTTATGCAGAAAGAGAGAAAGCCAATGTTGTTTATTCTGTTATTTTTCTCCAGTACGAATACTGTGTGCAGTATAAAATGGCGTACCCATATGGTCTATTTCATTAGTGAAAAAATGCAGTATGCAAATAAAGCTTATTGCAATTAATATGTTATACTTTTACCATCTTTTTCTTGACACATCATATGATCTGACTGCCAAAATTAAGACCAAAATTGGGTTTTAAAACAAATTATTTAAAAAAAATGGTAGCTAGGTAACATGTACTGAATTTAACTGCATTTTATATATACGGTACTGTTTCACATACTTAAAAAAACAGTAGCAGTATACAGTACATACTGCAAAGTATGCATTAAGCTTATGTACTGACATGCTGGTATTCCACCCCAAACATAGCCAAACACTCTCCATGATCCATTATCCCATAATGCCCTGCAATCTCAATCTATAAAACCTAAAGTAATGCCAGCTATCAAACCTCGTTTGGCACAGCACTGAGAAGAATCCATTAAGTGTCAAACTTTTCGATCAAGCATCTCCCTGTTTTGTCTGTTCCAAGAATTGATGGGTCAGTCGGGGCCTTCATGCCCCCTGTGTGATTATTACACACACACACAGTGCAAATGGAAAGAGAGCGAGAAAGTCTGCCTTGGGATATGTACATAGATGGGCTTGTGTGACAAAACAGTCCCTCACGCTTAACCTGAGCGTCTTTGAGGACTCCACTAGTGTGTATGCATGTGTTTGTGTAGTTGCACTTCACATGCACTCACCTCAAAGTAGGTCTCGATGTATTCTGACACGATGTGCTCAGACTTAGGTTTGTTCTGGCAATATACCACATACATGTGAAGCCGCCTTTCCTGTGGTTTGTGCAAACAGAGAGGGCAGATAGAATTAGCTCAGCAGAGTAGTTATAGAGTGAAGCATTTAGTTATATTTATATATTTAGTTTAGTTTAGTTATACCAAGTAGCAGTAGTAGCATAAGAAGACTTTGGACATTTAAGCCACATTAAAAATGTGTGAATTTTAATTGTATTATTATTTTATATATTTTTTTATTTTAAGCAAAACAATTCACAAAAAAAGAATTTTGTTCAAATTATAAAACAATAAATAGAAATAGAAACTTCATACAGCCACTAAAAATCACTTTAGTTAGATAAAAATCATTGCAGTTAGATCTGAAAAAAGCTCTATCATCATTTGTTTACAGAAACCATTTAGTTTGAAAATTTGTATCTAATGTAATGACATTCAGATATTTGTAAGTGTGCCTTAAGTGTCCACAAGTTTTTTTGGGGACAATGTTTACTATATATACACCCATTAAAGTACAATCCAATGTCCAGAAATCCTATTAGTAAAGTAAATGTTGACAATGAGAAGAAACAGTAACTGTTATGGAAATACATCAAAGTAGTTTATCTTGTCTAAATTCTTCTTTCCTGATCCCACACGTAAACGCAGCTAGAGAGAGACAGGGAGCAGTGGACATGTATCACGACAGGTGATTCAATGTAAACTTTCAAGCTGCTGTAAGTGTTTAAGTAAGTTTGAAACTGACACTGCCTACATTATAAGAGCAGTGTACTGTGACGCATAGAGAGAGATTACACAACTCTTACGGAGGAGCATGAGCAGAAGGCCATGTATAATTCAGCCCAATTATCCGCAATGTAATCAGAGCCCATTCTCTCTCTCACACACACACACACACACACACACACACACACACTGTAGTTACAACTGGACACTACAGCACACACACAGAAATAAATACTCATACACACAGAATGAGTTGCCTAGAGACAGGCCGACTGGGTAGACGTCAAAGCATAAATGGTTCTGACAACAAATTGTAAAAGTCACATATGGACACTGCACACAATTAATTTCATAATCAGGATTTTTGTTCTTTACATCTTTAAAACATGATTATCAGACTTTTTTGAAGTGACGTAAGGTGTGGACAAGTATGGTGACCCATAATCGAAATTTGTGCTTTGCATTTATTGCACACACACATTAGTGAACACACACACACACACAGCAGTGGGCAGCCATATAGCTGCGGCACCCGGGGAGCAGTTGGGGGTTCGGTGCCTTGCTCAAGGGTCTCATCTCAGTCGTGGTATTGAGGATGGAAGAGAGTGCTGGTTATTCACTCCCACCACCGACAATTGACTTGAACCCGCAACCTCTCACCATTAGACCACATCTGCCCCAATTTCATCTTGAATTAAGTTTATTTTCAAGAACACTTTATAATGTTTAGTTTTAACATTAGGTAATGCATTAGGTATCACAAAAATAAATTAATAATTATTTAATTATTAAAAGAATTAATATTTTTACAGTATTTATTAATTTAGATTAATGTTAATATACTGTGTATATATATATATATATATTAATGTCTTATGAATGAACACAAAAATTATGAATGAGCCCAAATTACAAAAGGACAATGGGATATTTACAAACTACATTTATTAATTTGACATTTACAGTAAATAACACATTAATAAAAATTGTAAAATTAGTTTTTTATTATTAGTTCATGTTACCTAATGCATTAACTAATGTTAACAAATATAACCTTACTATAAAGTAGAATGAACTCACTAATTTGCTTCATTTATGCTTAAAACTAGGAAAATAATAATAATAATGAGTCAAAATTGTTCAAATTTGCTTCAGGTATTTTGTCATTTGTTTGGTTACTGGAAAATAGCAAAACATACTAATTCAGATTTTTTTTCCCAGTGCAGTGACATGTCCTTATAAGACTGTTGAAGACCAGCTGAAGGATTTTGCAACCCATTGTCTTAATTTATCTACAGTACGCATCAATGACTGGAAGTGGGAAAGTCCTGACATAACTTCGATGTCTAACAACTTTGTTATGTAGTGTATGAGATAAAAGAGGGGATGAGAACAGGGGCTGAGGAAATTAGAGAGAGATAGGGGAAGGTCTTGTTTGTGAAAGGAAAAAAGACAGAGTGGGGGGACAGTCTGGCCCTCACTCACCCTCCATTACTGTTTCTCATTACCAACCAATTTCCCACTACGCTTGTTTCACAGTTTGACTCAACCTTTAGATTTTTGTTATAAGTTTCTTTATTCCCTTCAAGTCTTTTTAAGTTATTACCCAAAGGGCTCAGACTCATAAACGGTAGAAAGGGCAAACGCTGACAGACGCCAGTTTGTACAGTAACAGTGCTTTTCATTTAAGCAAAACGCTTTGATTCACCACCAAAACTTGTATCACAGCATGTGGTAGCTTTTAACAAATTACTGCAAAGTACTTTCACAACTGTAAATCTGTGAATTTTAGTTTTTAACGTGTACGCCTATGGGTGCCAGGAATTGTGTTGTGTATTTATCTGTGTATGTCCATAGCGTAGGACTGAACTCCAGAAATAGACACGGTGTGTGCAGCGGTGTTATCAAAGGAAGTAGCTGTGCTTGTTGTTCCTCCTCTTACTTTTCCCGCCTCTTCTTCAGCACACACACAGAAATAAATACTCATACACACAGAATGAGTTGCCTAGAGACAGGCCGACTGGGTAGACGTCAAAGCATAAATGGTTCTGACAACAAATTGTAAAAGTCACATATGGACACTGCACACAATTAATTTCATAATCAGGATTTTTGTTCTTTACATCTTTAAAACATGATTATCAGACTTTTTTGAAGTGACGTAAGGTGTGGACAAGTATGGTGACCCATAATCGAAATTTGTGCTTTGCATTTATTGCACACACACATTAGTGAACACACACACACACACAGCAGTGGGCAGCCATATAGCTGCGGCACCCGGGGAGCAGCTGGGGGTTCGGTGCCTTGCTCAAGGGTCTCATCTCAGTCGTGGTATTGAGGATGGAAGAGAGTGCTGGTTATTCACTCCCACCACCGACAATTGACTTGAACCCGCAACCTCTCACCATTAGACCACATCTGCCCCAATTTCATCTTGAATTAAGTTTATTTTCAAGAACACTTTATAATGTTTAGTTTTAACATTAGGTAATGCATTAGGTATCACAAAAATAAATTAATAATTATTTAATTATTAAAAGAATTAATATTTTTACAGTATTTATTAATTTAGATTAATGTTAATATACTGTGTATATATATATATATATATTAATGTCTTATGAATGAACACAAAAATTATGAATGAGCCCAAATTACAAAAGGACAATGGGATATTTACAAACTACATTTATTAATTTGACATTTACAGTAAATAACACATTAATAAAAATTGTAAAATTAGTTTTTTATTATTAGTTCATGTTACCTAATGCATTAACTAATGTTAACAAATATAACCTTACTATAAAGTAGAATGAACTCACTAATTTGCTTCATTTATGCTTAAAACTAGGAAAATAATAATAATAATGAGTCAAAATTGTTCAAATTTGCTTCAGGTATTTTGTCATTTGTTTGGTTACTGGAAAATAGCAAAACATACTAATTCAGATTTTTTTTCCCAGTGCAGTGACATGTCCTTATAAGACTGTTGAAGACCAGCTGAAGGATTTTGCAACCCATTGTCTTAATTTATCTACAGTACGCATCAATGACTGGAAGTGGGAAAGTCCTGACATAACTTCGATGTCTAACAACTTTGTTATGTAGTGTATGAGATAAAAGAGGGGATGAGAACAGGGGCTGAGGAAATTAGAGAGAGATAGGGGAAGGTCTTGTTTGTGAAAGGAAAAAAGACAGAGTGGGGGGACAGTCTGGCCCTCACTCACCCTCCATTACTGTTTCTCATTACCAACCAATTTCCCACTACGCTTGTTTCACAGTTTGACTCAACCTTTAGATTTTTGTTATAAGTTTCTTTATTCCCTTCAAGTCTTTTTAAGTTATTACCCAAAGGGCTCAGACTCATAAACGGTAGAAAGGGCAAACGCTGACAGACGCCAGTTTGTACAGTAACAGTGCTTTTCATTTAAGCAAAACGCTTTGATTCACCACCAAAACTTGTATCACAGCATGTGGTAGCTTTTAACAAATTACTGCAAAGTACTTTCACAACTGTAAATCTGTGAATTTTAGTTTTTAACGTGTACGCCTATGGGTGCCAGGAATTGTGTTGTGTATTTATCTGTGTATGTCCATAGCGTAGGACTGAACTCCAGAAATAGACACGGTGTGTGCAGCGGTGTTATCAAAGGAAGTAGCTGTGCTTGTTGTTCCTCCTCTTACTTTTCCCGCCTCTTCTTCCCTTGTGGTTGTGAGCCAATGGACACAACACAAGCAAACACACAGCCTCAAATGGGCCGTATCAGTAACAGGGTGTCTGAGGGGGAACAGAAATAGAGTGGGATGATGGGAGAATAAATGGGGTGTTAAAATGGGAGTGCGTGTTAAAAACCCCTGTGTTTTCTCAGCTCTGTTTACTCAGTGCATGAGAAGTTCTGCTCAATCTTGCTAGAAACAGACAGACAGATGAAAGACAGAACAATAGACAGACTTACATGTTTGATAAAAAGTTGGGCCAGTCGTTCAGGTTCAGCCACACATTTCTCCAGCTCACCCAGGAAATAACTGAGATCAGTACAGAGGGAAGAATCAGACATTCAGCCCACGATAAGTCATCAGCAGGACCATATGGAATCTGCATGCACTAAATTCTACAGATTTTTCCCAAAAAATTAATTGCAAGGACAAGCTGAGGACAATTCAGTCTAAACTGACTTGAAGGTTTAGGAATATACTGAAAGTCTTGTCAGATTTGTGATATATACACACACACAAACACAGATAAACCTACTCTCTATGCCAGTCGTAGATCTGATGAATATTCCCGAATACTATTTTGTCTTTTCCCTTCATATCTTCTGGAACTCCTTTTGCATTCATAGTGGCCATGTAGCCCTTTGAGAGACAGAACATGATGAACTTCCACAGCTCATGACCCATAAAAACACTCTTTTATTATTAAATCTGAGACATTTCAACAGTGATCACTCTCATAAAAAATGTAGATCAGCATATTCCAAATATTTTAAATCCAGGCACCATTACTTTGATTTATACTGTGATCAGTATTACAGCTGGGTGGAATTCAGGTCAGTTGATGCATCAAATCAAATTCTAAGGTGATTAAATGCTCTGAAATGCATTTGAGTCATTCTAAGATAACAGGAAAATTGATAGCATTCCATAACAGAGTTGATCAAATCCACATGTGATTTGTTAATAGATATTTAAAGCTCACCTCCACAATAAGTCCTAGATCAGCTACATACAGCTTTTCTGTCTCTATCAACTCTTTCAGAACATACCTGCAGAAGAAAGGAGGTCAGCCTTTATTGGTTTCATCAAGTCATTCAATACATTAACAATATCTGACAGCTCAAAACATGTGCTGTGAGTAATACAGAGTGTAATATTAGCAGAGTTCTGACTGTCGCAGCATATTAATAATCTGGGAGCTATTTGTGGACCACATGAAGGGCTGCTTTATATTGAAACGTGTGAAAATTCCTGCTGGAAAATCCAGTTTATGATGGTAGCTGTGTTTTGGAACATTGTAGCTGGTTTCTAGCTTCACTAAGATGGCCATTAATTGGTCCAAATTGGTTAGTTTATCTAAAACAGTAATTAAGATTATCTTTACCTGGATTAAGATGATCTTTAGCAAGTCTCTAGCTAGTTAATATGGTCATTAGCTGGACTAAGATTATGTTTAGCTGGATCTAAAAAACAGATTGACCTGTATGGCCAACTGGTATCTGGTTCTAGCTAGTTGGTCCAAACGGGTCATTAGCTCGTCTAAGATTATCTTTAGCTGGTTAAGATGATCTTAAGCTGGTCTAGCAGCTATCATCTTTCAAAAATCAGTTTGACCTGTTATGGCCAGCTGGTAGCCAGTTTATGGCTAGTTATGATGGTCAGTAGCTGGTCACAGTTGGTCATTAGCTCATCTAAGATGGTCATTAGCTAGTATAAGATTATCTTTAGTTGGTTAATATGATCTTTAGCTGGTCTACCATGTTCCAAAAAACTGTTTGACCTGCTATGGCCAGCTGGTAAAGACAGTCATTAGCTGGTCCAAGCTGATAATTAGCTCATCTAAGAAGGTAATTAGCTGATCTATAGTTATCTTTAGCTGATTTAAGATGATCTTTAGCTGGTCTACCAGCTAGCATGTTTGACCACTTATGGCCAGCTGCTAACAGGTTTCTAGATGTTTTTAGCTGATTACGTCCTTCGAATGAGACGTTAAACTGAGGTCCTGACTCTCTGTGGTCATTAAAAAATCCCAGGATGTCTTTCGAAAAGAGTAGAGGTGTGACCTCGGCACCCTGGCCAAATTTGCCCATTGGCCTCTGACCATCATGGCCTCCTAACCATCCCCATATCTACTGATTGGCTTCATCCTCTCCACCAGTAAGCTGGTGTGTGGTGGGCGTTCTGGCGCACTATGGGTGCTGTCGCATCATCCAGGTGGATGCTGCACACTGGTGGTGGATGAGGAGATACCCCCTGACAATGTAAAGCGCTTTGAGTGCCTAGAAAAGTGCTATATAAATGTAATGAATGAATGAATTAATTAATTACCTGGTCTAAAAGCTATTATGTTGGACAAAAAAGGTCTGAAAATTAGATTTTGACCATTTGGTGGCTAGTTGCCGGCTGGATAGTAATAGCAGGTCGAATTTTGTCATTAGATGGTCCAAGATGATCATTATCCTTCACTACCATGATTAAAAAAACTAGTCTGGCAACTTTAAACTGTTGGGACTAGCCTGCCAGTCTACCAGCTTGAACCAGTTAACAACCACCGACTGGCTTAAACGGATAGTTCACCCAAAAAATTAAAATTATCCCATGATTTACTCACCCTCAAGCCATCCTAGGTGTATATGACTTTCTTCTTTCAGATGAATACAACTGGAGTTATATTTTTAAAAATGTCCTGGCTCTTTCAAGCTTTGTAACTGATCTACACGCGCTCATGAGAACAAAGGACGTAGGGGTAGCGTAAGCTCCGGTGAGAAGTGACAAACGTGGAAGCGCAGAAGAGAGCAAAACAAAACACCGGTCACGAATTAGAAGTACAAAAACGAGGATTTGTAATGAAAAATGTTGGAGGATTTCGATATATGCCAAGAGGAGACTGGTTTCCCTTTGCTGTAAACAAAAGTTGGTTCTCGCAAGACTAGCATATCCTAGCATGCCCTACGTCATCTGCTGGAATGCCACTCTCTCGTGAATGCGTGTGTGGAGCCGTGTGGAGTACTTTTATGATGGATGGATGGATGGATGCACTTTTTTGGGCTTCAAAATCTCGACCCCCATTCACTGCCATTATAATGCTTGGAAGTGCCAGGACATTATAATATAACTCTGGTTGTATTCATCTGAAAGATGAAAGTCATATACACCTAGGATGGCTTGAGGGTGAGTAAATCATGGGGTAATTTTAATTTTTGGGTGAACTATTCCTTTAAACTGGATTTGCCATCAGGGATGACTTGACTGTGGTGTACTGATATACATCTGATGCCTGCTCTGTTAAATACTGCAACTGAAATCTCAAAGTAATACCACATCAAAAAGATTTAAATTAAGCATTTCTGTTACATAAGCAGTATAAAATTAGAATTTCCTACGTTACTTAACACAAGTTGCAAATAAAGGACATTTCTCACACACATGCTTTTTTCTAAGGCACTCTTCTGATCTTCTTCGCTGTCTATGGTGGCTGATGATTGGCTGGAGTTGTCATCCATCAAGGCAAAGCAAATGTCATCAGCCTGTAGGCTGGTGCACTGGGTAATCTGCAGACACAGAGGAGGATAACTGTGAATAAGAGGCAAGACACAATGCTGAAATAATATTCACTCCAGGGATGGCTGCAGGGACAGAGAGGAATAATACAGAGGAGAGAGAGTGGATTGGGAAGATATGAGCTGTTGTAATAGCTCAGGTTGCCTAGGTGACAGGAAATGAGCATGCTTGGTCTGCTGGTGACAGTGATTGAATGATAACAGGAATTCAGCACTTACCAATAATCATGACACCAACGAGACAGAGTAGATGTACTACCCTGACTCTCAATGCCACTGACCCCATGAAGTCACAATGTTCTCACAGAAACTCATGTCAAATTGTTTTGGTTGATATGGACCATTGTTTTAGTTGACGAGAGATGTGCATACAGCCCTCCAAGTTGTTCAGTATTTGAGATGGAAAGAGGAAGTCTGAAGACGTCCTGTCTTTGTTAATGTGTTTGTTAACCACATCAGAGGTAAAACTAGGACTTAAACTATGCTATAAATCCTCGCACTTTGTCACGTCCCTCACAGTTGTTTGTAGTCATGCTTGTTAAGGATTTCTACAAAGCGTCAATATCTCAAAAGTATCTTTTTCCACACCATTTGTGCTACAGACATGAATAATACGTCAAATCCTGAATCTCGTTGTGAAATGGTGTTCTTGTACAACTTACTTACAATTTTTACCTAGTGAAAGATAAAATGGGATTGCATTGTGCAACCGCATAGCATTGTGCTAAAATCACTCAGATATGTTCCACACTCACAAGTGATTTAATACGGAACAAATTACATTTCTATTCCATAGAATCAAACAGCTTTGGTGACCATTAGTTTTCATTGTATGGACAAAGACATTTTTTTTGACTTTCTTAAAATATCGTTTTATGTCATACAGGTTTTGATTTGGAACAGTGTTGTTATTGTTCACTAAAATGAAAACTTTTACCTTGTTTTCATTAGCTGGAAAAACTGAAATAAATGAAAAACTTAGCAAAACTTAGCCTGGGCAACTAACTGAAAATTAAGTTGAAGAACTAAAATGACAAATACTGAAATAAAAATAAATTAAAGCTAAATCGAAATATAAAAAAACTAATAAAAATGACAAATGCACATAACAAAATTACTAAAAACATAAGCTAAATAAATTGAATAATAATATATAAATAATAATTAAATGACACTGGTTTGGAATGACATGAGGGTGAATGAATGATGCCAGAATTTCCATATTTGGGGGAACTATCCCTTTAAGAAATTATTTAGCATATTAATTTAGCAATTTGGTTCCCACAATGTAGGCAAAACTGCACCCACACACACAATAGGTTTGGTGTTTGTCATCTAACTGATGCGGAACGCTCTGTGTGGCGTATAAAATTATGCATCACCCCTGCTGTGTGACAAAATCTATAGTGACAGTGTGGAGTCAAAATCATCTCTACAAAAAACAACAAAAAAGCAATTACACCCATTTATCGTGTTTCCCTGCTTTTTAAATGCACTAAAGGTCAGATAAGATCTGCCCTTTAACCAAAGCTGTTTAGCTGCTTGGTTAATGCCACAGTCACCTGTGAAGCATCACTTTATCTTCATTCTCAGGACCCCGGTCTCTCGCTCTCTTTCTCTCATACACACAATACCACTAAAGTCACACATCCTCCTCAAAGCAAGGATTCCTATGCTAAGAGCTTGTGATGGAGAGCATATTTCTATCCATTTAATATGTTATCACTTTTTTTCCAGTTTGTTTGTTTACAGGAGCTTTACAAAGCACTTCCTTTGCTTATAAAGGTGTTATTGTGTTGTGTGTGAGAAAAATATGGCACAATCTATTCCAAAATGATGTGGATTACAATGAACGGAAGTTCCTTGCATCATTTGCTCATTTACTCACCCTCATGTCACTCCATATCTGTGTGATTTTCTTTCTTCCGTGGAACACAAAAGGAGATGTTTTGTATAATATGTACTGGTTGCTCTTTTCCATTCAGTTACAGTAAAAAGGGCCAGATGATTTCAATCTTCAAAAAGGACACAAAACCACCATAGAGTGGTTCAAATCACTACATGCACTATATTCCAAGTCTTCTGAAGCCAGACAATTGCTTTGTTGGAGAGAGAGACAGAAATCTTAGCCGTTAATCACTGAAAAAACTTGATATCTGGTCTAGATCTACTTGCTACATTCATGAGAGTAGCAAATTGTGAACAAATAATTAGTCTGAGTTAGATCTTTTCAATGAATCAGTTCACAAAACCAGTCTAAATTAAAAATTGGCTTTCTGAGTCAAATTCACTGAATCAAAGATTCAGTTGCAGCAGTTAACGCTTCTGTAATTAACGTCTTAACTTTCAGAATGTTTCACACACAAAGCTACAGCATGGCTTCAGAGGATTTGAAATACACAGTAGTATTTGAGTCAAACCCCTTTTATGATGCTTTGCACTCTTTTTGAAGCTTGCAAGCTTCAGTCATCATTGGAATGGCATGAAAAATAATGACCAGTTTACAAAACAAAGTAAGATTTTATTTCTATTGATATAGATTAAAAAATTAAAAAAATTATTTCTGTGACGGCAAAGATAAATTTTCAGCAGCCATCACTCCAGTTTTCAGTGTCACATGATCCTTCAGAAATTCTAATATGCTGATTTGGTGCTAAAGAAAGATTATTAGCAATGATGAAAACAGTTAATGTCCTGGCTGAACAAAAATATTTGTTTCTTTAAAAAATAAAATCCAAACTTACTGACCCCAAACTGCTGAACGGTTGTGTAAATCATGTGTATAATGTGTTGTATTGCTCCATCATGCTATGTTGTAATCCAGCCTTACGCCCCACACTTTGTTGATGTACCTTTCTGAGTATTGTATTACACTGTTGTGTTGTTTTCTGGTGCGGGTGGTGTTTGTGTGTTTTAGAGCAGTGCGATTACTCCTGCCTGGCTCACAGGTCTACTCGGATCATTTCCAGATGTTTTTTGGCACAGCCCGCAGGAGAACCCCCACTCTTGCACTTAACCTTTTTTTTATCTGCACAGCTTTTTTTCTACCCAGAAGACCAGACACTTTACTTGGACCTTAAATAAAAAGCTAAATCATATTAGTTATTGTTTTTCTACAGGAAATTGTTAAAGTTAGCTCGAGCAGAGCGAGGTAATCCAACGTCCTTTTCCCCTGCTTTTAATGTAGGGTATGCGGAGACTCACGTCATAGTTATATCATGAGTGGTTCCTCGCTCAAAGTGCTGTGTCAGTCCTCCATTTGTGTGGGGAATAAAACAAAACAGCCAGTTTGATAAACATGTGCTGCGTTCCTCCGTCCGGGAGACAGGCCGGATCCGAGGAGTGCTTACATATTCATTCAGGAATTTTCCATTAGCCAACAAATAATAAACTCACGCTGGATCCCCACAGCAAATGTTTCTGTGTCAGGTACAAAGTAGGGTGTCAGCTGAGCTGAATCAGAGACAGAAATGACTATGATATAAAATACACCTCAGCCTCACCATGGAGAGAGGCAGGAAGTTACAGAGTAATGTAGAACACTGAAAAACAACGCCAATACCAAGTGATTAAACCCAATATAAACTGCAAAATGTTTGTCTTGTTGTCCAGTAAAAAATACGTAAACATCTACATAAGACAAAAATACCTGTATTAGCTATTAAGGGGGGGAAATTACTAATAATAAACTCACCTTTGGCCACTGTATTACGGTTTGACACAAAAATATAATACAGCACTGTTTCCAACATTTGTAATAATAAGAATTGTTTCTTGAGCAGCAAATTAACATATTAGAATGATTTCTGAAGCATCATGTGACACTGAAGAAAATTCCAGTGCCATCACAGGAATAAATTACATTAAAAATATATTAAAATAGAAAACCTTGGTTGTAAATTGCAATAGTATTTCACACATTTACGGTTTTTACTGTATTTTTCATCAAAAAAATGCAGACTTGGTGAGCATAACGGACTTCTTTCAAATGAAAAATCAATCTTACAGACCAAAAATTAGTGTAATTTGAAAAGACTAGAATGTATTTAATGTAAATGCAGCACTTGCAAATGATGCATGACACTGTAATTAGTATAACTTACATGTCTAGAGTTCATGTTGTTTCTGTAATAAATTAATGTCCGATTATAATCACAGTGCTTGAGATCTCAGTCTCCTCCCCTTGTTGTTTTGCACCTCTGGTCATAATTACCTTTCATCACCCACCTTCTGATGGAATGATGGAATAGAATGATGAATGTTACCGCATTTAGCCATCAATTTGGATGTACAGTCACTCTCTTCCGGCTATTGTGATTGTCTATGTGTGTGTTGTGCACAGTGTTTTGTATTAATTTAAGTGTTCTGGCTCAGAGAGTGTACATGCACATGCAAAAATATACAGTAGGGTACATAATGTAAGAACACATTGAAAATCTGAGATTAATTTAGCACTAGAAAGAAGAGGATAGAAAAAAGAGATTCATGTTAATGCTCCAGTTTAATTTTTATTGAAATTGTTATGTTGATAATAGATGCTACTGTTTAGTTTGGGGTCAGTGAGGGTTTTTTTTTAAAGAAATTAATATTTTTATTCAGATAGGATGCATTACCATTGATCAAAAGTGACATTAAATAAATGTATAATGATGCAAAATATTTTTAGTTTAAATAAATTGTTCTTTTGAACTTTGAATTCATCAAAGAATTCTGTAAACAGTTTCCACAAAAATATTAAGCAGCACAACTTTTTTCAACATTGATAATAATAAGAAATGTTTATTGAGTGCCAAATCAGTTCAAGAATCAGCTTTGTCATCACAGGAATAAATTACATTTTAAAATATATTAAAACAGAAAACAGTTCATTTAATTTACAACAATATTTCACTATATTACAGTTTTTACTGTATTTTGATTAAATAAATTCAGCCTGGGTAAGCATAAAAGACATTAAAAACTTAACCCTTGTGCGTCAATTAAAAAAAGTTACACATGGGTCCATAGAGGACAAAAATGGCCATGTCAAAAAACTGTCATAATAATTTGAAGCTTGGGAGCACAGACTTAAGTTTGGTCTCATTTTAAAGAAGACCCATGGCAGATTATTGTTGAAGTAAACAAAAGTTTAAAAAGTTAAACCAAAACAAGTTAAAGAGGATTAAGTTTATGTGAGTATATAAATGAGTTATGAACAATATTTTATATAAAATATATATTTTATGAAACTTGTTGAACTCTAAACCTGCTAGAAAATCAAAGCCATAAATCTAAAGAAGTTGTGTTCCAAATTGATATCTCAAAAAATGAGCTTTCAGTAAGATTTTGTTTGGGCACAGTACCAAATTTTCCCCATTAGATGCCAGCAAAACTCTGCTGGAGCACACAGTGCTTGGATTTGTGATTTGCAGTACAGTAGAGTTTTTCTCTCTCAAATATTACAAGCACACACGCACAATTAATTTTGTTTATTTTTTTATGACACACATACAAACCACACTCTGACATCCATACCAACACACCCACACAATTATAGCTGCATTATTTATCCAATTGGCTCAATAATATGCAGAAGCAGAAAACAGGAATAAAGCGAGTATTTGCTTTATAGGCCAAACCTGAAATAATGGCACCATCTGGTAAAAAATAGTAAACATTTTTAATTTGAAGCCTTGCCAACAGAATGAAAGGCTAATAACAAAAATTGCATAATTTTACAGTTAAATGGCCCTGTGATTAAAAATAGCAGTTTCAATGGGGACATTTTTGTCCTTAAGGTCCTGAGAGGAACAATTTTGTGTACCTAGTGCAAATTAGATTTATTAAAGGAAATGGAAGCGAAATAGTAAAATTCCAATAAAAATACACACCAGTGCCAAAATGTATGCAGTTGGCGATAACACAGGCAAAATTATAAAAAGAACAAAACTGAAAAGGACAAAAATGTCCAAAAGGTCGCACA